CTCCGATTGGCTTTCTATGAGTTGTAGAGTGCTAAAAAGATGAGAGTCTCAATTATACGCGGTGATTGGGACTGGAGCTACCACAGATAAACGAAATTTGCGGATAATCGTAGCTAGAGTTTAGACGTATGAAAGCTATTTCTGATTGGCTCTTCATTCTTTATCTCCGATTGGCTTTCAAGCAGTTGCAGAGTACTGCAGAGATGAAACAGAAGAGTTTCAACTATACGCGGTGACAGGGACTGGAGCTACCGCGGATAAATGAAATTCGGGGATAATCCGACTCTGAGCGTTTTGGCCGGAAAAAGGAATTGAAAAGGCTGTACTTTATCTACTACTAGAACACTTATCAAAGAATAAAAAGGAATGTAATTATTGGTTAAGAATGGATGCATTTTACCTTAAAGAGGTTATTTTTACCAAAAATCATTTCTGAGAATAATTTTTTTACGAAAGTTGGCGCCATAAAATTTCAGCGTTTTTAGGCCAAATCCACCGGAAAAACCATGGATATAATCTGTATTGCGATTAATCGGAAACGCGGGTTTTCGAGACGGTCTTTCTTTCTTTCTTTCTTTCTTTCTTTCTTCTTTCCTTTTTCGAGGCTCATGGAACTAGGAACTAGTTTTTAAGCTATATATTTCTATGATCAAAATGGGACTTTGATGCGACTGCTTCGAGTTTGCGCATTAAAATTAAGAGGCGCCTCTACTTTTTGATCAACATGAATCGCGGATAGAGTATCAAAAGGCGTAAATGTAATATTCTTTTCACGATTTGCGTTGATCTAAAAGGTAAGGCGCCTTTAAATTTTGACGGGTACCTCTTAGTAGTTGCATCAATGTCCCATTTTGACCGTTTTATTTTAATCGTGCGGAAGTAGAGTTTTACGCTCTAACCCCGCGATCGCGCGTCATATTTTTTCAAACTTTCCTTCGATAACCCGTCGAATCGCACCGTTTCAAGTTCCTGTTATCCTACACTATTATGGTTATTTTAAAAAAGTGACATGCCGACGATTATCGAATTTCATCAGTCTAAAGGTCAAGTGCATGATGATTAGGTACAAACTTGAACAGTGAAGAAGTTCCGAATACCAAAATAAAATTCAAAATGCGGGAAGAAATTTGGAAATGGGTTAAGCAGTAATCACAAAAAACGCTACAAACTGTGCAATCTTGGAGACGGTTGATGACATCATCAGAACTGGAGATAAGACTCCCTTGAAATAAAACTCGTCGTGGGAGCATGTGAATATTTTCAAATTTTCTTCGATATTTATCTCTGACAAACGTCATGTATATTTCCTAGTGAACTTCTTAAAAGCATTGGCTTAGCTTTGAATTAAAGTCTTTCAAAACTATAAAGAAAAGAAAGTTACTAATTGTCAAGATACCCAACTCATATTTTAGGGGATGGAATTTGGAAACATTTACATGCACCTACACAGAATTTCTCACAAGCCTGGCTGTATGGGCAAAACTAAACGTTTTTTGACGGATCAAAACTTTGAAAATAACTTTTTTTCAAGAGCACGTTTTTTAAGACACGGACTTCAAATTGCCTTAGTTCCGCTTTGTTAAAAAAATTATATATTTACCTTCTTATTTATTTTTTTCTCCTCGTGATAGAATATTTGTGAAAGACGTTTCTATGCAGCGATAAGGACTCTCCAAGATTTTAAAGTTTAAATTATTCGGTATTAGAGTCTCTTCTCTTGTAGAGTTAGATTTTGCGTAAGACTAATGAATGGTGAAACCAAAACATCACTCAAGCAGGAGAGATACCTTTGTTCAGAAATTGTTGACAGGAGGGTCCAGAAAAAAAAATTGAAAAGTTGCCAAAATGATGCCGTGGGATTCTCAAAATTATAATCGATGTTGCTAAATTATGCCCTGGTGCATTTTGGATGGAATAAGAGGAACCAGACTTTCATTTTTTAGACTTTGAGAAACAAGACCCGATCCTGCCGAAATTTCTCCGAAAACTGCGTTCAACTTGATATTCATACTTCTTTATCAGGCTAAGATCACAGAAAAAAAACTTCAGTTCATGTGGCACATCAAACTTTTCAGTCCATGCAGTCAAAGCTTCCCTGAAAGGAGGAGGACCTGAGGTCGACTGCTGTTTTCTAAACTGACTTTCGGTTCTGAGGAACAAAAATTTCGATACCCTGCCCCGAAAACTGTGCACGGTGCCCCTGAACTGACTTTAAATGCGACTTTAATGTACATCAAAAATTGAGGTTGGAGGTTGTAGTGGGGTACTCCCTGATGGGTTTTTGGGCAATTTCGAAATAGGTTGTCGGAGCTCCTGGAAAAATAATCGCATTTTTGTGGTTTTTTAGGGGTAAAATAGGAAAATTGGCCTCGGGGCGACAAATTAAACGCCCTCTCCCTCATCCTTGCTTTGACCGATCTGAATTTTTAGTATGTTTTNTCCGAGTATTGTCCGCGGTTTCCTTGCGACGCGCCGCACGCCGCGACGCTGTCTCGAGGCGTCGTGCAATACTGCATTTTTGCCGAGGAGGAATAATCGACGCCATCGTATAGATGGAGTTTAGACGTATGAAATCTATCTCTGATTGGCTCTCTTTGCTTATCTCCGATTGGCTTTCTAGGAGTTGCAGAGTGCTAAAAAGATGTGAGTCTCAATTATACGCGGTGATTGGGACTGGAGCTACCACAAATAAATAATTCGATATTTATCTCTGAGAAACGTCATGCATATTTCCTAGTGAACTTCTAAAAAGCATTGGCTTAGCTTTGAATAAAAGTCTTTCAAAACTATAAAGAGAAGAAAGTTACTAATTGTCAAGATGCCCAACTCATATTTTAGGGGATGGAATTTGGAAACATTTACATGCACCCCCTGGTAAAAGTTGGCGATAAGAGCTGCGTTTCAAAATACCATAGGAATTCTTATAGCCGGCTAAAGAAGGCTACAGAAAATCATATAGCTGGCTGTAGAATGCGGAGAAAATCATACGGCCGGGCTATACGAAGCGATAAAAAATTATGCAGCTGGGCTATAGTTCCTATCGCCGGGCTATAGTTCCTATCGCCGGGCTATAGTTCCTATCGCCAGGCTATAGTTCCTATCGCCTGGCTTTACACTTTATCGCCTGGCTGTTGCTTTTTCGCCATCGGCTATAAAAGGCTATAAGAAATTGTGTAGAAATTCGTGTGCTTCGGAAATCATAAAGTTAAATACGGAACCACCTTAATATTTGCAAAACAAACATTATATTTTCCTTTAATACATATTTTTTTCATCAATTAAAATGAGAACATACGGAAAAAAAATCCATAAATCCATACAGGATGTGCAATTGTGCAAACCTTTCAAAATCATGAGTTGAATAACGCTGACTCCGCCAGATTAAATATTAGAGCGTAACACAAAGCGGAGCGGCAATGCACTGGCGCCTACAAACCTAACAGGAATACTTCACGCATTGCGCAACGCGTGAAGTATCCCTGTTAGGTTTGTAGGCGCCAATGCGCATTTCGCGCTGGCTGCCCGCCTTCCGCGCCGCAGTGTTCCACGGCGCTTGAAGCAACTATTTCACACCAGACCAGAGACAGGATCATACGAGACTGAAGGCGGTCTAATATATTAGGAATGGCAGGCATCCAGTAAAAGTACGGAGCTTTCCTCGCAAAATAAATCAAGATACTACGGCCCAAAAAGAGAGCAGTAGTCCAAAAACTCACTAAGTCCTAGCATCCGTAATTAGTAACGTTTAGCATACACTTTATCGGCTGGCTGTTGCTTAATCGCCATCGGCTATAAAAGGCTATAAGAAATTGTGTAGCCGGCTATAGAGGCTATTGGAAATCTTACAGCCGGCTGAGTAGGTCTATGGTATTTTGGAACACAGATTTCTACTGCCAATTTTTACCAGGGCCTATACAGAATTTCTCCCAAGCCTGGCTGTATGGGCAAAACTAAACGTTTTTTGACGGATCAAAACTTTGAAAAAAACTTTTTTTCAAGAGCACGTTTTTTAAGACACGGAATTCAAATTGCCTTAGTTCCGCTTTGGTTAAAAAATTATATATTTGCCTTCTTATTTATTTTTTTCCCCTCGTGATAGAATATTTGTGAAAGACGTTTCTATGCAGCGATATAAGGACTCTCCAAGATTTTAAAGTTTAAGTTATTCGGTATTAGAGTCTCTTCTCTTGGAGAGTTAGATTTTGCGTAAGACTAATGAAGGGTGAAACCAAAACATCACTCAAGCAGGAGAAATACCTTTGTTCAGAAATTGTTGACAGGAGGGTCCGTAGGATTCTCAAAATTATAATCGATGTTGCTAAATTTTGCCCTGATGCATTTTGGATGGAATAAGGGGACCCAGACTTTCATTTTTTAGACTTAGAGAAACAAGACCCGATCCTGCCGAAATTTCTCCGAAAACTGCGTTCAACTTGATATTCATACTTCTTTATCAGGGGAAGATCACAGAAAAAAAACTTCAGTTCATGTGGCACATCAAACTTTTCAGTCCATGTATAGTCAAAGCTTCCCTGAAAGGAGGAGGACCTGAGGTCGACTGCGGTTTTCTAAACTGAATTTCGATTCCAAGGAGCAAAAATTTCGATACCCTGCGGCGAAAACTGTGATTTGCCGTATGAACCAAAATTCAATTATTGTGATCAAAATGCTTCTCTACGTAATAAATGATGCTCAAAAGTACAAGTAACGTTTGCCTCGAATGCACTTATATATCGTTTAAATATCTAGTGTAATATCCCCAAGATTTTTTTTTTTTTTCCAGAGTAAATTGTGCTTCCATGAAACCTTTCTGTTTTAACTCAGTAACTGACCTTATTATACTCATTATACGTGAATGCAGCAACGAAAAAGTTTGAACGAGAGAGTTTCAGGGCCAAAACCCCAATGTAAGTACTTGAGGGGAAAACCTGTCAGGAACATATAATCAACAGAAACAGCACAAGTATATTGGACATTCATAAAGGAAAACCACATACTAGTTTTATTTTCATTTAAATAATTTATTTTTGTAATCACCATATCATCCTAATTCGTTTTTTTATGTACATTAATTTTACAAACTTTAAATATTATTTCTTTTCAAAATACTTACAAACATTTGCATCTACACTAAGAACGCATCGTAAATTTACAAAGATTCTAAACATTTTTACAATAAGGTTCCAGAATGTTCAGCCTCCTCAGCCTCACAGCAGTTATCGTATTCATTCGCGTACAATATTGATTTTCGTTTGCATGTTGGAATATATTACATTGATGCAAGGTTGGGAAAAGCCAAAGAATCACAAATGAAAAATGAAGTGAGATCGTAAACTCAGTTACTTTTCAACCCGAACGAATCTCTGAATAGATTGGCTATCAAGTCCGGAGCAAAGCTGTAATGATAGAATTTATACACAGAGTTTATCTTCAACTTAAAGTTACAATGAAAGCTCGCGTATATTATTGAATTTATGATTTTTTTTTGTCCCTACGAAAAATAATCCACCTCTCCTATTTATCTGTAATACCCCTTATTTAACAAATTGCGAGCCATTTTGATAAACATGTCGCTGCAAAACTTGGTACAGTTGTTCTTTAGAAAAACAAATCAAAATTCAAAAACAAATAAATTTAAAATAAAGGACATTCCTACCGACAAGAAAAAATGCGTCAATCCCAACTTACGCAAAAGTGGGTGCGCACAAGTTAAGTATGGAAATGCTTCTCATGTTTTCTTGCTTACATTTTACCTGACTCAAACAAAAGAAAGGAATATAGGGGAGAAAAAATCTCATGAGTCAATGATGCTACCAAAATTTGGGGCTAAAATTGAGAATGCAATTGCACAAAATAGCTTGTGCCCATATGTTGTTTCAAAGCGGAATGGACTCCTCCTGAGATGTCACAATTAATCATACTCTATAAGTCGCTACATAGGAGGACTGGATTATTCACAAAGAGGTAAAAAAATGGCATGATTTTCCGAGCAGAGCGACAAAATTTATGGTGGCGATTCTTGTATATTAGCAACACTGTTTTACTAAATTTAAATGCGTGTAAAAAATCGATTCTGCGGGATCGTTCTTCACATCGAATCGATATTTAAAACGGGTTTAAATGAAAGGAAAACGGTAATACTTGAGAGAACCGCCTTTTGTGTCAATAGTGAAACTGTGCCGGTCGCGTTAAAGACTTGATCTTTATCATTCTAGACTCTCCTGCCTCAGCAGGCTCTGGACTTCACAGAAAACCGCCGCACACGCTCAATTACATAAACTCAAGGTTCTTGGATCTTTCAAATTGAAACCTTACACAGCATACTCGGACGTTGGAAAATGGATCTTGCCGTGATCGTCACCAAAATGGTACCGCTCGATCATACAGCGATAAACAATTTACCATATATCCGATAAAACTGCAATATTCTGACGGAATTAGCCGTGCACTCGAGGAATTCACAGGCATTCTGCAGAGGCGTGGCGTGAATTGCGATGTATCGATTGTTCTGCCATTTAAACCTATGGTAAAGAATCGATTATTAAGGTGTTCGGTGCGAACACTCTGTTTATAGATCCTTTTCCATAGGTTTAAATGGCATGATAATCGATATGTCGCAAAGGACGCCACGCCATCAGCGCCACGAATCAGTTTTCTGCATACTCCTTCTGACCACATCGTCCTTCATCTTGCGCTCTTCGGGTAGCGAACCCTTATTTTGCAACGGCTGGTTAACGAAAAAAGATTCGAACGTAAAATAAAAGCTATCATCCTTTTGATGACATGAAAATTTGATGGGATCGCCAGCTGAGGGAGGACGAATTCTGATTGGTCAGAATTTTTCCTTTCGCACTCTCGCGCGCTGAGCAGAGCGTCCAAGAAGTCGGAGGTGAAGCTTTTGATGAGCAGCTAGGGCTTGATTTTTTGGTAAACAAAGGGGTGCTTCTGACGGTGCCTAGTTCCACCACAGTCACTGGAATCTGGACCAGTACTGTGACGTCATGTCTGGAGTTTGACCCGGAATTGCGATTGGCACAGACACGCCCGGAGATATTAGACCTGAGGAGAAAAATAAATAAAAATTGTTATCGTAAAACATGGTTGCAATCAAACCAATTCAGGGAAACCTTTAGATTTTGGGATGGTCAATTTTTTGGAAAGGTTTGATGCCAAGATAAAAAAAAAAAAGATATACCAGTAAAATCAAGAATTTGCCGTTAGTGATTGGCGCGGTAGAGTATAAGGGGACCTAGAATCAAAATTGCTTTTATCATAGAGTTATTGAGAGTGTAGTCCGGGTCATTAAATTGCAGTTCTCTCCATTAGCATGGTTTGTGGTTCTTCTCGCCCCTCTGTTTTGCTGCTGAAATGAATTACAAGAGCTATTCATCTCTGAACAGCATTCTCCAGCAGCCACAGAAGATTCTTTTCGCGAAATCAAATCTGATCGAATACCATCAAAAGTCCAGGATAAATAAGAAATGACCCTTTAAAATCACTCATGATACAAAAATATGTTGTGTAAATGCATATTTTGTTACGATGCCCTATGAGAAATTATACGCCGAACTTCTTAGTCCTTTTTCATGGATAACCTAAAATTTGACATCGAAGCAGTTATTTTTGGGGGGGGGCGGGGGCGGTAAGAGAACCGCTTTTTAAACCCTTTTTAATCACAATGAACCACTAGACAAGGTACGAATTTAAGCATTCTGATACATGTTTTTTAACCAGAATTTTACGTAGAACACAATTCGCGCAACGGAAATTACTGAAACCAACTCCTAACGGAGATATTAGCATTTTTATTTTACATTAGTCACGAAGAATTCGAACTGCCCGCTCATAAGAAACTCAAAGCTCTTCGTGAGTCAAATCGCGCACTGCAACGGTTTCAGCAAGCTTCTCAATCGAGCAATGTTCATTTCCCACCATGTGTTGTTCAAACTATAAGCAATGTGCTATAGCTGAGCCACAGCGTCAAGATTGAGGTTGTCAGATTTTTATATCGGAGAGACTGTCATGATAACGTTTAGCGCGCGATGTGAATCACGTAGAGCATTAAGTTTTCATGAGCGGGTGGTTTGAATTCACGAATCAAGAATCATTAAATATTTTCGTAAGGAGTTAATTTCGGTAATTTTCGTTGTGTGCATCGTGTTTTACGTGAAATTTTTATTAAGAAACATGTATCAGAATGTTGAAATTCGTACCTTATCTTGTGGTCCATTACGTGCTGTAACATATAATTTACTGGAAGTCGGTCTTGATGATGGAAATATCAGGACGATTATCTCATAAAGAGGCATTACGGCTATTTTAAAAAAAAATCGATTTTCATATTATCTGGCTCTCAACACCAACTCCTCATGTTCGATTAGCCTTGCCGAGTACCTCAAAGGGTCCGCAGGGAGGGATGCGAAGGAGGCCGAGAAAGTAATTTCAAAGGGTCGAGTGTGGTGGGTGATACGATCGCGGGCGCGTGCGAGATGTTTATCTACGTGATTACTCGTTGACGACTAAATCTCTCCCACTCTTAATAACGCTCTTAGCGAATGACGCTCGAACCCCGGAAAAACGTATGTTTAAATGATGAACAACACCCCCTTCCTCTTCCCTGCGGAAGGGAATTATCATAAAATAATTGTTGCCGCCCCTTTCATCTGAGATTCTTCACGAGATCTCGTTTGTCATCGATTTGCTCGCAAATCACTCCGACAGTTTTTTTTCATTTTTCTTTTTCCTTTTCAATCGTCATTTTGGGGAACTAAAAATTACATTTAGTATAAAAATTATGGTTCCTTCTGGAAAGGCTCATCGTAAAATCGAAGAAATATTACAATAAATTAAGTTGAAACTGTTGCAAGAAAAGCTAAAAAGGAAACGCATTGAAACCAAAACATTTCGATCGGCTGAGCGAGAACAAATGAGTATGAAACGAACAAGAATAATAAAATTAATAATAGGCATAAAAAAGGTCCGATATTTATCGGACTCAAACGGACGTATTTGCGTACATAACAAGAGGCCACGGCGAGATTTCTCATCAAAAGAAATCCTCAATCAGAATTCTCTCCTCGGAATCGGGTCTAACAGGTGCTCAGATGGCTACCCTTTATATTTTAATTCTGTCTATCTATTCCTCAATCGGTAGTGACAGTGTGGTCAGTCAAAAGTTGTTTGATTTTCTTGTTGTGTTTCTTTTTTAGCTTTGTTTTCTGTGTTTCAATTTATTTTAATGTAAGATTTACTGTTTGTTGTTGAGAGCTGCAGATGAGACTTCGTGAAAATTTTTTTTTTCTTTAATTAATCAAAAGTCTCCATACTGAAAAAAAAGTTCGGTCGTATGTACCGAAGTTCGGTGTTCCATATCATCCCGACTAATTCGGTTCGTCAAACTGAATTTTCGGTTTGTCAAACCGAGCTTTGGATTTGTGTGACCGAATTTGAGCAGTAAAGTGAACTGACGAACTAGTTTGGCCCAGGGTGGCATGAAATGCAAGAAAGAAATGAAAGATTGGAATATTTCAGTGAAATATTTCATGAAATTTCACGAGGCTATGAAATATTTCATATTTTTCAGGGGCTAGAGATGCAACTCGCACTCAAACACACAAAAATAGAAAAAAGTCACAATTTTTACATTTTGCAAAACATGGAAAGGAACCGGTATTTTTCAATATCTTTCACAAATTTCTAATATTTCATGAAATATTTCACGTGAAATTTCAAGATTTTATTCTTCATGAACTTTTGCCACCCTGGTTTGGTCGTATGTGCCGAACGTCCGGTTTCACGAGCCGAAATTTCAGTTTGGCAAGCCGAATATTTGGAATAATATGTTCGGTTGACATGGCTGATTTTTTTTTTTTTTTTTCAGAGGCGGGTATTTTTGCTAAATACGATGAAATATTTCTCTATTTGTTTGATGATTCTTACCGGTAGTTGAGGAAACACCAGAGGAGTATTGGTGCGAATGGCCGTTGATGGGTTGGTAGTGCGTGGGGCTGTAGCAAGAGTGTTTGGGCGGAGCGTAGGAGCCGAGGGACAGGGGTTCGTACCCCCGCGTCATACACGGGTACGAATCTCTCTGCTGAAGACACGACGTGGGGCTGGGAGGCATTTGAGGAGGCCCGCTCGATATGTTGAAGCTACCCGACATACCGCTCATTGGGCTGTGAACAGAACAAAAATATACCTTTAGTTTTTGTAAAAAAATTCTCTTTAAAAATGAAAGAATATTGAAGGGTTCATTCGAGAGCAATCCGTGCGAGATTCGCCTGCATTTTGTGATGTAGGCAAAAACACATTCTCAGGGGTTGCAATGGTAGTATCTAAAGGCATTTGGACAGAGTAGTGTTTCAATAAGAAAAATCCGCGAGAGATTCCCCTGCATTTTGTAATGTAGGCAATAACACATTCTCAGGAGTTGCAATAGTAGTATCTAAAGGCATTTGGATAGGGTATTGGTTCAATAAGAAAAATCCGCGGGGGGTTCCTCTGCATTTTGTGATGTAGGCAAAAGCGCATGCTCAGGAGCCTCAATGGTGATATCTGACATGGACTACGATAGACTGGTAACAGGACATGAATGGTGACAGCACCAAACCAGAAGACCTGATCAAGTTTTCTTGTTTCGCAAAAAATTACACAGTATTTTCCGGCAACAATTTATAGGTTCGAATAAGTTGGGTTCATTTTGGAACGACCCATTTCAGCATGTTTAAAAGAAGTTTCTCCTCTCACAGTTTTGATTGATTTCATTTTTTTATGTATTGATGTATATGGTCCTCGAAATTAACATTTAAGAAATTTATCATCATTATTAACGCAGCCAAGTTCTTGTTTCATTAACTAGTTTGCGCTGGCGGGTCAATCTAAATTTGACCTACTTGTTCCTTTGAGTCTTCATAATAGACTTCCTTTTCGGAATTTTCCATCGCTCGGACTTGCATATAACCCTATAATTAATTTCCAAAACGCCAAGATCGATGCATTTGCATCTCGCCCCGCTTGCCCGGCGCCCTCTAATTTTCCTCTGGCAATCTTCTCAATCGAGATCCATGAATAAGCAATAAACGTCGTTCCTATAAAACTTATAATCTCTCTTCTGATCCAAAACAACCATCAGAGGGCATTTGTTCCGTAAATTTTTTTAATTAAAATGCTGAAAGGATTAAATTTACAATGGAAGCTTAGAAAGCACGCAAAATTGATATCTAAGGCGTTTTCTTTGTGATTTAAATAGAGATTGCGCGTGTATCTTTCATCCTCGCATCTTTAATTAGCGAAGCGCGACCTAGATTTAGTGTAAGTGCCGCGGAAAAAGAAAAATTCGCTGAGAGTATAATTATTGAATTTCAATGAGTAAAAAAGAAAGAAATGCGTGAGATTAAGCAACCAAAACGCACGTTAGGAATTATAATATCCCATGGCTACTCTTATATGGCTATTCTCTTCAGGAAGAGTTCAAACCTTAAATTAGGAAAAATAAAACAGCTGTGTTTCTAAAAAACGTGACGTGTTATACACAAGGTAAAATTTCTAATGCGTTTTTCTCAAAACAAGGGTTTCCCGCATATGCCATTGTTGCAGCCTCCGCCTCAATTATCAATCAAAAATCTTGTCTTTTATGTACGGTTTTGCATTGGATAACCCGAAAAGGCTATATAAGCTCGGAAAAACATGCCATGAAATAGAATTTTAAACAAAAATTGATAAGGATGAAATGCTAAAACTCTGTTATTCTAAGATATAATTTATCAATATCAAATTAAATCGGAGTACGAACACTCTGTAACATGGGACATCCAATTTTCAGAGTTTTTGCGTTTGAAGAAGATTCTGCAAAAAACTCATTTTTCGGTGTTCAGGACATCGATTTTAACATCGATTGAGGTAGCTCCGTGCATATTTTGCCGCTCTAAGGAAAAATGCCGTATGAATATCTAGATTGGTCTGCGGATTTTCTCATATATAACATTCATTTTTGAAGAACGCTATGAATTTGAAATGCTCAAAAACTGGGGATTGAGTCGTGAACAAAATTCTCTGAAATTTTGGAGAAAAGATCCACAAATCTCCCTAAAAATTTGTTTCTTATCGAAGTAAATTTAGCAACGTCTGAGGGACCTTACAGCGGTTTTACTCAGCGCAGCAGTATGGATCTAATTTGATACATCTCGCATGTGAGATTGTATCGATATCGATTGGATCAACACGTGAACATAGCCTCAAAAATCAATTGAGTAATCTGAGGGAACGGGTTTCTTGTGATGGATTTTTTATTCTAATGAGTATAAAATGGCCATAGAAAGTGAAATTGTTAGGAACTTTCTCATTTTCAGCTTTCCCTACTCAAACCGTGAAATTTTTGTTTCAGGTCATGTACTATCGTTTTGAATCAAACGATACATCAAACCACTATCGAATACGATCTTAATCTGTTTATTTATTTGCGAGGTGGGTGTGTCGGCGGGTCTTACCTGTATGAGTCGGGCATGGAGATAGGCGTGGAAATGGCGGGGTACATGTTGGAGGAGTTGGAGGTGAAGGTGCCTATCCTGGAGGGGGAGGCGGGGGCGGGGGGCTGCTCGGTGCTGCCCACCGTCGGGTGTTGCTGTTGGTCCGTCGCTCGCCGTTGCGTCCGCAGCTTCTCCTCCCGCCTCCATTTGGCTCGTCGATTCGAAAACCACACCTGTAATCCAAAAACAGCCACTTCAGTTAAAATGCCGCTAGACACATTCTTGGCCACACGGAAAAAAAAAAAATTGCTGATTCAACAATTCAATTACTAAAAACAGTGAGTGCAATGTTTCAACGCAGATTTTACAACAAAAAAATGCTACTTTAACCACCCCCGTGGTTAAATTAGTTTACAATGTGGTTAAAGTAGCATTTTTTTGTTGTAAAATCTGCGTTGAAACATTGCACTCACTGTTTTTAGCAATTGAATTGTTGAATTGAACGAATAGCATTTTTTTGTTGTAAAATCTGCGTTGAAACATTGCACTCACTGTTTTTAGCAATTGAATGGTTGAATCAGCAATTTTTTTTTCCGTGTAGGAACAAAATTCCGGCCGTGGATCACATCACGCCCATCACGGGGGCTCATTGTCGGAACTGATGGACAAAGCGGTAGGCAATTTTGGATAGGCAACTAAACTAACTGCATGACAAAGCGGAAAGTATCATGGGAAACTGAAGGGACTCTCAGCCGCGAGATCATGCTTCTGGCGTTCTTTACAGACAGAATCTTTTCATTTCGATGCCAATTATTCCAATATGAAACGTTGAGACAGAGTACTCTGTGCTCACGACTGAAGTTCCGTTCTCCCAATAGAAAATTTCTCTAAGTATAACAAAGTAAGTGCAAGAGCCAAGTGAACAGAAGTTTTTATCATTCGCACCGACTATTTTTTGCGTGTATTTGCATTTTATCGTATTAACTGATGTTTTTATGCGGGCAGTTAATAGGCGTAAGTTAATCTAATTATACGTGAGCGGAAGTGACAGTTTTGTCAAGAGTCACATCAGAGAAATAAATTTACTGATGACATTACACGAGGATAGTCTCTTACCTGTATCCGAGCTTCTGGTAACCCTATTTTCACAGCTAATCTCTCCCGAGCAAACACGTCAGGATAATGCGTTCTTTCGAACTCTGAAACACGGAAATTATACAAATAATTAATGAATAATTTCTAATCATCATGTTTTGGTTCGAATAAAAATCTCAGAGTTGATACTATGAGAAATCGTAAAATCTAATACTTTAATAGTTGGATGCGTTCAAGCAAAATCAGGCTAACAGCATTTCATGTCTAACTTTCTCTCACGTTTCGTTTTTTTCGTATTTAAATGTGATTGTGTTCCCTCATTTAGCCAAAAGCGATTTAAACTAACCCATTGGGGCTACAAAAGGTTTTCCCTGTGGAGAACACAAATCCCGATTTTTCAATCTAGTTTGATCAAAATCGGTCCCCTGAAAATACTGCCCTCTTGCATTCAGGTCCTTGGTCCTTATTTCTGTAGACGGTCACTCCATGTAAATGGTGTCAAAGTTATCCATTTTTATGGTAGATAGTATGGTAACATAAGTGATATCCTGTGAAATCGAAACTTGGTGTATCAAAGCTCACTCTGAACCCGGCTGGGGGATGACGACGTTATTCAATCATAACAACATAAAAATGTTTCCGCTGCTACCCTCGGCGAATAAATTGATTTCCGTCCTCATATAACTCTCCTTCCACTGTCGTCCCATCTCGAATGTTCCATTTTTCAAATGTGCAGCCTGTGTTTTTCTTTTCGTTAATTTTATCGTGCGGAAGGGGTATTTATTTTTCGGCTGACAGCCGGGTTGAACTTTCGGTGCGTTTTCGCCTCATATTTCGGAAGAAACTTGCTGTTCTACGGAATCAGTTCCATAAGGACTTTATATTGTAATTTTGTCTAATATTTTTAGGTTTAAGAAATAGAAATATAGAAATATGTGCACCAAAACATTCACACCAGAGAGTAGGGAACTACCATAGAGAAAAAAAAGGAGGTGTTTGCATTTCGGGCATCTTGGAATTTTTTTGATGATTTGATAACGCAGGTCGGTACAGCGACGTTCATCTTGTCGATTTTCTTGGAAATGGTGTAATTTAAGGAAAAAAGTCATTCTATAAAAAGTGCTTGAAATTATATAATGAGTTGATTTAAGTAAAAAAATCGGACATCATGGTCCATTTTTCATTTTCCGAATTCCGGATTTCGCTGGCCAGGTTGTGACGACCCGTGGTAAATAAACCTCAAGATGCAAACACCTCCTTTTTTTCTCTATGGGGAACTACTTCCTAGCATGTACCATGCAATGATACAGGGATTGTATTGTAGGTCAATATTTAGTTTTTATAGCAAAGGGCCCATAATGTCAATGTCTCTACATTTAAAATTTAGTAATTTTGTAACGCTGCACACCTTGAATGCAGTTTCGCTTAAAACTACAATTGAGGGATTTGGAGGACAAGGCGGGTAAGTGCAGTTAGAAAAAATTGAAATATTCATTAACTCGACAAAAACTAGTTTGAAAGTATATTCTGTGACAAATTCAAGACTAAAATCCAACTTTAAAGCATCAAAAAGTGAGTTTAAACTCTTTATGTGCCACAAGGCTCCATGAAATTTTGAAACTTTTAACGCGTATCTCTTGAAATAACTAAAACTGCACTCATGCGCCTTGTCCTCAAAGCCCGTAAATTTTTCCGAAGATGTTTCACCATCATAAGCTTTCATTGGCGGATCCAGTAAATTGTTAACATCGTTTTTCTCCATTTAAACCCATGGAAATGTATCGATTCTTGGAGGAGCACCGACAAGAATCGATTATTTAACATAGGTTTAAATGGAGGAAATACAATGTTACCAAATTGCTGGATCCGCTTCTGCAAGCTTTTGTCAGAGCTATATTTCACCTGTTCCAATATCCGAAAAATGAAAAATCGGAGCGAGTTTTGAGGAGGTCCTATAAAGTAACCGGGCTTTAGACTTAGACTTTAGACTTACCTTTTTCTAAACTGTCTATTTGGTCGTTGGTGAAAGACGTGCGATTCCTTTGGAGTTTCCTCTTAAGCCGGAGTCTGGCTTGATCATCCTCCGGTCCCACGCTGGAACCTGGGTTCGAGTTATCACCACCAGAAGTACAAGTTTCGTCCGATCCTACCCCGTCCAACTCAACGCCTGCAACATAGGCAAAATTAAAATAGGGTTTAGCCATCAGTCAAACAAGCAGAGTAAGGTGAAGTAAATTTTCACTTTTCTCATCCAAATTTTCATAACCGCACTACAGTGGAAAAAGCATCATCAAAGATCCTGAAGGAGATGATTTGATGGACGCCATATTTTGTGTCAGAACGACATGAGATATATCGCATCGATTGGTTCCAATTTTGCAGCTACTTGTCATTTTTCTCGAATTTTGAGACTGCAATTCTTTAGTCCCCTGACAACAAATTTGCGATCTCAAAATTCGAGAAAAATGACGAGTAGCTGAAAAAATGGAACTAATCGATACGATAAATCGCATTTCGCTCCGACACAAAATATAGCGTCCATCGAATCACTGTGAAGGATACTTAAAGATCCTCGATGATTATCAAATTACCGTCGCTGGTCATAAAGGCCACCTAATATATTAGTACTTGAAGCTTGAGAAAATATTAATTTCCAGAACAGTCTCGAAAACAAATAAGAGATCCAGTTTTTTTAAACCCTGACTGAATCTCACGTAATGCATACGTTTAAATCTTTTTTGCACTCATGCGGTACACGACAAAATCAAATTATGGGCATGATTTTTATGTGCTCCTTCGATTCGATGATTATGCAATTTGAGCTGCCTCTGAGTTGGAATAGTTGTATCACTGATATTAGCTCACAGAGTGCGTGGTTCTGCAGGAGTTTTATTTTTGGTTCTAATCCAGACTCAAAGAAGAAATATATTAAAGAGGACGAAAATTCCGTTACATATTACTGTTATTTTGATGCACACCCTCAAAAACGTCATTACTCTTAATCGTGTCGATTTCATTATACCGTTGGGGTTAATAATATTTGTCGCCTAGTCACTTTTACCTTCCGCAGGGCACAGCTAAAATGAAAAAAAGGCTGGTCATGCGGCCTGGATGTTAGGTGTTCTTCATAGGACTATCCATTTTATCAAACAAAACTTCCGGTTTGTGCCACCGATTGAAAGCGAACCCCTTTTCTCAGTCAGGCTCAATCCCCAAAAGTTCGACCTTAAGTTCAGTTTGACCACCAACCGAAAGTTCAGTTTTATAAACCGGAGCATTCGAATTGTAGAAAAGACTACACGTTCGATCCAAATATGAACCGATTATTTTCCAAATCACCTGGGAGCCGATCTCTATTTTTGTGGTAGAGGGGTTGCTTTTTCTTTGTTTTCCCTGGTCAATCATGTCTGATTTCAAAATAACCTTCTAAAAGAACATACATTTTTTGGAATTCGAAAATTGACAACAAAGCTAATAAAAAGGTTCTTCTTCACTGGGAAAAAAACACATTGGATCTGGAGTCCAGACTCTTAAAAACATCGACAAGAAAAAAATACTCTTGATTCAATCGGATTTTTGCTTAAATCAAGAACCAAGCCTCTTAATTTGTGCAAATTCCCTTTCGTTTTAAGCTTAAATCTGATTGAATCAATAGTATCTTTTCTTGTCAATGTTTTCAAGAGTCTAGACTCTAGATCCAATGTGTTTTTTCTTTCCAGTGTTGTTTTTTCTGACATTCGAAATTTTGGCGCTTACGTAGTTCGGAAAATAATCGGTTCGTGTATGCCTGAACTTTTTTTCCCGGTGCACCACGGAATTCGAGGACAGAGAAAACTTGACCACCACCGCGCAGAACCGGTGGCTGGTTCCGCGGAGGAACCAATGAAACACGCGCACGCTCTTTCCCCCTTCCCACCCCCCTCCCCAAACCCCCTCCCCTTCGTTATCTGGAATACACAGAGTACGCGTACCTCCACGACCGCCGTTTTATCGAGAATACGGTCGACCATACACGGGGCGCGCGGCGGGGAGGGGGTTGTTAAAAGATCGGAGGAGCCCGGAGCGCAGTCAACCAGAAAGCGGCTGATAAGAAGTCAACCTTTTAAAATGTTGCCGCCGAGAGAGAGAGAAAGAGAAAGGGGCGCACCGGAACCAAGAGGGGAAACGGAGAGAGATAGACCGACGAGGTGCGAATCACCGGCGGAGGGGAAGCGGGAGAAGGGTTGGGGCGGGAAGGATCGGGGAGAAAATGGCGAAACAATCGTAAATTCAGGTTGCATGTAAACCGGTGAGCGGGATGAGAGCGAGCGAGAAGGTTACTTGAAGGAGGGTGACGAGGAGAGGGCATTTAAAATAACTTATTGGAAAAGAATGGCGGAGGAAGATACGGGAGGCGGAGAGGGTGAGAGCTCCGAGAGAGGGAAAATGAAATTAAACTATCACTATTAGATGGAGAATGCAGAGTGGCCCCGGAATAATGGAGGTGAAGTATTGTAAACCGGACCTGGTAAATTACTCCAAATTGAGCTCTTGTTGCGCGTGTGGTGGGATTCCGAACGTGCCGCGCCGTTGCGAGCGACGCGATGAATTATTGGACAAGATTACGATGAGCCCTCTGTAAGGCCTCCATCGGAATACCTTTGTAGAGAGAGTGCGGGCACTGGGTTTCACAAGGACTCTCATGCTAAAAAGATGGTATGGCGACTCTGGGTAGCACGGGGTTGTCAACATGTATCGTTGACTGCAATGTCTGGTTTTCAAGAGATGCTGCGCTTCGGTGCAGATGAAATGAAAATAAATGAAGGCGCGTTGACTTTTTCACGTTCATAGCAATGCAAATGATGCTGATTTGTCAGTAAATACTCACGCACGCCTTTATTAGCAAAGCATTAGTGCGTTTTGTGTTTAACACGATAAAACGCTGTATGCATGATTTCTACAGTGCGGGAAAAACTGTATCGTATAAGTTGCACCACGTGGCCATAAAGGTATGATTTACTGCAACTTTGTCTGCATTAAACATATAACTTACTGTAAAATTAGCGTTCCTCCCAAAAAGGAAAATGATGTACTATAACTACAACTACATAGAGGGTCTCTCAAGAGTTGCCGTTCATCAATCTATTATTTACTTCCTTAATCTACTGCAACTAACCGCCTCTACAAATATCAATAAGATCGCTCCTTTCTCCTTTCGTTCTCTCTGTCTATAGCTTCATCTATCAATTTCAATAATCAGCCTACAGGTAACCAAAGATTGTGTTAGCCATTCTAAGACATGTATTTCAACCGTCACACGGTGGATCGACTCAATAGGAAAGCTCGAACAAGAAGCTTTAAACGCTCATGACTCCGTTTATAAAAAACTTGAAGGTCCTATAAAAGTGGTACCATTGGTTTCCTCGTAGAATTTTCTGCTAGAGGCACCCCTTACAATTCAAAATGTGACGAAATAAACATCAAAATTTGGAATTTTAGTCGATTTCATGTCCAACCTCTCTTATGGACTCGATCCACTGTGCATCATTTAAGCCGAATTTTTGCTTCTTCGACCAAAAACTTCAGGGAGCCATTTCGAAATCCGATCCTCGAAAACGAAATTTCCCCTTTCAGCAATTCAAGCAACTACAGTATCAGAGCGAATCAATTCGGTTTCCAAGGTTGAAAGTCACGCCGCGATTGGCCATCGCGAATCTCTCGAGGCCATTGCGAAACAAAAAAGGTCTTCTCGAGTAGGTAACAAGGTTTACAACGCCTAATCGGTTCCGAACAAAACTGGCCGGAGGCCACCAGTCCAAAGCGGCCACTCACCGATAAAAAAGGGCGTAACTACACTCCGAGTCCAGATGAAATTCCAGGAGTGACAAGGCTTCGAAGGAAATAGACTTGTGTCCTTTAGTAGACGGAGGTGTGCCTAGAGCGGGGGGCGGGCGTTTGGCGCGCGCCTGGATAGTTAAGTCAAGTCGTTTATCGTGTGCTCGATCATTTCCAGCTCCTTAAGTAGCCAGTCACAGCGACGGGGGTCGGGCGGGGCGGGGAGGTTTGATGTGTAAATGCAGTTGAGTCGGAGGCCAAGGGCCAGCGCGAGCAGCCGGTCCGGTCGGTAACTCGACGCGCGACGCCCTGGCTGCAGCCGGGCCGAACCGGGGCGAATAGGTAGCGTTTCGTTTCCGAATCAGTGATCACAAGTCACTCATTCGAAAATGATTTATTTTTCGCCCTTTCGAGAGCACCTTCGGCCACCTTTCCGCCCGATCCGCGCTGCTGCCCGATATACCTACGATTCCGATAGGTCAGTTCGCTATCGGGAGAGTTGCGCCTCGGTCGGGCCGAGGGAGGTTGAAGGCCAGCCCCCCTCTCCAGAAATCTACCTATTACACCCTGGAAAAGGTGGGGGATTTCGCCAGATGATTGTTTGACGTATTTTTTCTATCTTTGAAATTTTGAATTTTTGAATTTCGCCTCCGTCAGGTTGAGGGGGGTCGGAGAGTCCAGCTTTCCCCTCCCCAGAAATCTACTTATTCCACCCTAGAAACTGCGGAAAATTCGCCTAATAAGTGCATGACTTATATTTCGACCTTGAAATTGTATTTGGGTCAACTTTTCAGTAAGAATAACTCAAAATTGCCCAAGCCCTTGAACAGGTCTTAAAGTGCCAAGTCGGTGGCCTCGAACAAGGAGATTATTTTTCTTCCACACTTTTTCAAATCATCCGTTTTGCCAAACGCTAGAGTCCACGTCAAATAAGTTTACGTACTTTTAGACTGCCACAGAGGATCCACCATCTTGGTTCTTCCGTTTACTCAATTAAATTTACATGCAAAAGTGACGTCGAACGATCTTCTTTCACAGTCTGGAAGTGTGTAACCTTATTTTGCGTAGACCATATCTGAGCGGTAACCGCATTATAGACATCGATAGACGATCAAATTCCGAACCAAATGGACCATTGGGTGACTGCTGGTCACTATGCAACATTCTTCTTTGAGCAAAATTGTACAACCTGTCCAATTTCGATCAATATGGATTGCGACAATATTCATTATTTTTTGCCGGGCGGCACATTTCTGCCAAGTTTTCATTTGAAAGTAATGCGAGATAACGATTTTAGGACTGATGACACCGGACACACTTCCTCTCATTTGGATGGGCACTTTGATCGTGTTT